TATTTTTATCCCTGGCTCCTTCCTTCTCTCTCTGCTTCCTGCTGCCACAGGTTGAACTGCCATCTTCTGCCATGCTCTTCCTCCATACTATTTCCAGCTGTGAATCCAGCTGACCATGGACTGAAATTTATGAACCAAAATAAACTTCTCCTTTAAATTGTGTTGGATATTTTGTCTCAGAGATGGAAAAGTGACTAAGACAAACCCCAAGCTAATAGAAAAAATAACAAAGAATAGAGATAGAAAATAGAGAAAAAGAAGAGAGAAAACTAAGGAAATAATAGTTAATTCTTTGAAATGATTAACATAATTGACAAACATTTAGTTGGAATGAATACGAAAAAGATTTCAATTACTAGAATCAGAAGTGAAAGGAGACTGCTGTATAAAAATTAAAATACTATAAAAGGATAATATGAACAATTTCATACCAACAAATTATATAACCTAGCTAAAAGGTACACATGCCTAGAAACATACAAGTTACCAAGACTAACTAAAAAATAAAAAAAAAATCTGATAATAATTACAATAAGTAAAGAGATTGAGGTAGTAATCAAAAGTCTTCCAAATAAGAAAACTCTAGGACCAAATGCTTCCTTGGTGAATTCAGAGGAATTTAAAGAAGAATTAACATCAATCTTTCTCTTATTACTTCAAAAGATAGGAGAGAAAACACTTCCTAATTTATTCCATGAGGCCACCATTACCTTGATACCAAAGTGAGGCAAAGTATGTTAGCTGTCTGGCACTGTGACAAAATACATGAGAAAACAAACTTAAATGAGGAAGATTCACTTTGGTTCATAGTTTAAGTCCTTGGTTACTTGGCTCCATCATTTGTAGACCAGGCCTGAAGCACAGCATCACAGTGAAGAGTGTGTAGTGAAGTAAAACTGCTACATTTCACAGCACTTGGGTTAGGGGGGCAAGAGAGCAAGCCAGAGAGAGGACAAGGTCAGGAATAAGCTATAGCTCTCAAAGGCACACCCTATGACCCACTCCCTTCAATGAGGCCCCATCTTCTGAGTTTCCATCACTTTTAATATGCCATCAAGTTATGACTCCATCAATGGAGGAATCCACCAATGAAGTTAGAGCCCTCATGGTCCAATCAATTAACAAAAGACCATAAACTGACAACCAAGACTTTCAGCACATGGCCTCTGGGAGGACATTTTAGATCCAAATCATAACACAAAAATACTACCAAAAAGACAAAAAACAACAACAAAAAAACAGGCCAATGCATATAGATACAAATATCCTCAACATAATGGAAACAGAATCCAGCAGCATATTAAAGAACTACACACCATAATTAGTGGGTTTTATTCAAGGAATGCAAGGAGGGGAAACATATCAACGTAAGACACCACATTTACAGAATGAAGAAAGTACAGTATATGATTGTCACAACTGATGCAGAAAAATGACTTGACAAAACCCAACACCCTTTCGTGATAAAAGCACTCAATAAATTAGGAATAGAAGAAAACTTCCCCACCGCAATAAAATGCATGTATGAAAAATCTATAGCTAATATCATACTTGATGGTGAAAGAATGAAAGCCTTGTTCTCAAGATCAGGAATAAGAGAAAGATATCCACTTTTACCACATCTAGTCAACAAAGTACCAGAAGTTCAGACAAAAACTTGTAATGTTCATAGCAACATTCCCAAAAGCCAACATAGGGCAACAACCCCAAGTCTATATACAGATGAGTTATGGATAAAAAAAACACTGTGGTACAGCTAAACAATGAAATATTATTCAGCTATAGAAAGGAATGCAACAACACAGATGGACTATGATTATACAATGTGAAAAGGCTTGACACAAAAGTCACATCCTTATGCCATATAATACTTACATAAACACAATAAATATCAGTATATTACCTCTGATAATACAGTGTTTAAATGTATACTTTGATGGAGTACACATAATCTTTTATCACTTGGCTGAGTGACTTTTACACACAGCAGGATCTCAAATAACTATTGAATTACTGAATGAGTGTCATTCACTCTTAAAATTGCTCAATAGTTCCACAAGATGTTTCTAATAAAGTTTCAACTCTACAATACAGCTCATACGTCCTATAATGTTTGTCTCATATTTCTTTCGGGTCTCATTTTAACTTCATTTAATAACTTATGTTTCAGGTACAGAGCTTGGAATAACACAAAGTAAGACATAGACTACTTCAATCTTATGAAGTTCAGGAACCAGAAAGAAATACAAATGATAAAGTATTAAGACTAGGGGAAAACAAGGTATGAAATATGAGAATCTAGTAGGTTTATCTTATCTAGACTGTGGGGTAGGAAAGGAAGGCCTTCTGGGAAGAGACATTTAAATTAAAACAGAAAGTTAGGACACTGGGTGAAGAACAGAGCAAGTTTCAGACAAAGAGGAAAGGATATATAGGAACCAAACTTTAAACATCCAGGAAAACAAAACAAGTTACTTGAGCTAGACGTGTTGGAGCATTCCAATAATCCCAGGACTCTGGGAGGCTGAGGCAGGAGGATTGCAAATTGAAGCCCAGCCTGGGCAACTTACTTATCAAGACCCTGTCTCAAAATAAAAAAAATGAAAGGACTGGGGATGTAGCCCAGAGTGAAGGACTTGGGTTCCATCCCCAGACCTGGAAAAAAAAAAAGTAGTAGCTACTTCTGTAAGCCTAAAATAGTAGGGTGGGAAAGGAGCTGAGATGAAGTCGAAAAGGCAGGCACTCTAACTCAAATGAATGGAAGCCATTAGAGGGATTTAAGAGAAGCAAAAAACAAAAACCAAAAAACAAAAAAAAAGAAAGAAAGAAGAAAAATCACTATATCTCTATAGAACTAACTATTTACTTGTCTGTGTACCTCACTGAAGATCTGAACTGATGTTTGTTTCCCCAGTGACCAGAACAATGCAGCACATACTACCTGTTTGGTCTTCATTCAGTGCTACCAAATGAAAACATCATCTAGTAGCAGAATAACAAAAAAATTAAACTCAGTATTTCTGATTCTATAATCTGTTTCTCATGTAAATATAGACAAATACTACATATGTATACAGACTAGAGATTACTCAGTGATAGCAGCTACAATAAAACCACTGAAATTAATTAAAACTAGAGTGATTCTGTTAGATTGACATACAACTGTCTTGTTAAAAACAAAACATTAAAGTAAAAATATTGCTAAAGAAATATATGTAATCATTATTGAAGAACCAGTAATTAAAATGGAAGACTGTGCCACATGTAATAAACCTTCTCTTTCATGCCTGTATGACTATATGCCAGGTGTGTATTTTTGATCTGAAAGCTGGTAATGCAAATATATTTTGTCAAAATTGGATAAAATTAAGAAATGTATTTTTTAACCTTTCTAGATTCTGACATTATTTAATTCAAATATTACAATGACAGGTTCATTTTTACTTTTTGTATGCTATACACTCTAAATATTAGATTGCTCTAAAGGCAATCAAAAGTTGAGAATTACTAATCCCAGAATGCTTCAGGGGCCACATTAGTAAAACAACCCTAAGAAAAAACTACCTCTGACACAACTGTATTACACGAAAATCAGTAAATGGAATAATAGCAGCACTTTGCTGTAAAACAATCTTGAATTTACAGCTGGAAGAGAATTTATTTTCTTTTGTCAAAAAAATTTTAACTGAGGCATTTTAAAGATCAGTGAGAAAATAAATACTGACTATATATCTGTCAAGATAATATATTCCTATTTTAAAATCTTTACTGATAAAGCTTGGCTATTTGCCAGTTTCAGATATTTATAGACGATGAAAAAGGCAAGCAATATATTTCTCTGTCTTTCAAAATCAGTTCAATTTATTTTACAACAGTCTGAATCCCTAATGGTCTGAGTCCATTAACGCTTGGAAGATTTTTCTGAGATGATGTGGACCCTGCCAAGCCAGGAAAAATACATTCAATAAAAATACATTATGACTTGAAATCCTGCCACCTCTTAAATGCACGTTGTATTCTCTAAACTGTATTTTCATATTTTGCCCTGTCTTTCAGAACATACTGTATGTTCTATTTTCAGATGAAGAAATTGTCCCCAAAGAATATGTATGACTTTTGCATCTTTATTTCAGTAAAAATAAACTGGATATTTATTGAATATCTTAACTAAACTAAACTTAGTTAAAGAAACTTAACTAAAAATGGAGAATCCAAATTAAGACTTTTTTTTTTCTCGTGGATCACAGCTAACTTGGTCTGGTGACAGGTATCTTTTTTTTTTTTTTAAATCGAGATGATCTTAGCTTTGACAGAAGTTAAAGACAGTAGATTTCAATTTAAAGATAAATTGGAACAGGGACGGGAAGGGAACCAAGAGATAAAGGGCGGGGCGGGGAAGGGGAGGTGAAGAGAACTGAGGTGGGTTCCGTACTTGCACCTACGCCCCACGATGAACTGAGTCATATACTGCAAAGTCGGACCAACAAAAATAAAAGAGTAACTAATACCGCAAATATTTAAGCCAGCCTGTTTCATGACAAGCCCTTGATAAAATTATGAACCTCCTACAAATATTACCTTACAAATGACAGTCAAATGGGTGAAAGGGACCAAAAAGCAGCAACAGCTGGACAGCAACACCTCAATCAACGCAGCCTTCTGCGAAGGAAAAGCCACCGCCTCTCCTCATTTCAGAGCCCCGCGGCTGTGAACCCCGACCTGAGGTCAGAAAGCCCCGCGACCCTCCGGGATTTATCCACGGGGGAAAAGCGCGGGGCCCTCGCCCTGCCGCGGATGCAGGAGCAAAGCCTGTCTGAGCGCTGCCGGGCCACCGAGGCAGAGGGGCTCAGGACCCCGCACCCCACCGTCTCCCGCCCCTCCCGGCTTCTCTCCCGGCTCCCAGGCCCCTACGCTAGCGCTGCTCGGTGACGTCTCGCAGCCACCTGAGCACACCTGGGCCCAGGGACGGCCGGGAGGCAGGGCAGAGCTCGGGCTGTCACCTTTTGAGGTATCTGGCGTCCTCCCCTTGCATGGCGGCAGCTACTTCCGGCGGTCAAGCACCCTCACCCAGGGCGACCACACTCCCGAGGCCAGCGAGGCGGGGCAGCGGCGGCGCTGTGGTTTCCACGGTGAGGAAGAGGCTCCTCCCACAGCTGCGGTTCCTAACAGCCGCACGAAACGCCCCAGAGGCTCCGGTTAGCCCCTCCAGAGGCGCATGCGCACGCGCCCCAGAGCCCGAATGCGCAGGCGCAGTCAGAGGTCTTCGGCCTGCGACTAATCTGGCGCTCCCCGGAGAAGCGCAGGAAGGTTTTGGTTTTGATCTGAAAGTCTGTGCTCAGATCAAAGAGCGGCTCTCTGGATACTGCCCCCTTGAGGATGGGAATAGAAAGGGCAATAACAGTCTGCAGAATTGGAATTTCAAGTCCTTAGCTGAAAATACGGAAAGGAGTCAGTAAATTTTTAATTAACAAATGCAGTCGAACAGTGTAGCCTAGGGCTAATGACCTGTGAGGTGAGGTTTCTATAGTGCAGCATTATGGAAAAGGTATTGGGCTGGGAAGCTCTACCTTGTGGAGATAATCTGGTCCTGCGGTAAAATCCATATGGTATCAACTTTGAAAATGGATCTGTCATTTCCAGAAGTTCAGTTTGGTGTTAGTTTGCAGAATAAATATTTGAGAAAACATAGCAAGTCCAGCTCGGAAAGAACTGCCATATTACAGATATAAAGTGATTAGACTAGCAGGCAGAAGGCAGAATGGGGCAGAAAAGCTGGATGGTAGGAATACCTTGAGGTCCAGATACATTCCTGGTATCCCTTCCCCCCCCAAAAAGCACCTCTGGAAATTCCAATTCCTTCACTGTCCTCTACTCAGGTACTTTTAGAATTCTTTCTTCTGAGGTGGGCAATTGTTGGCCATGCAGGGCAGAGGGAAGAATGCCTGCTCATGTTTTTTGTTTTTGTGGTACTGGGGCTTGAGCCCTGGGTCTTCACACTGAGCTACATCCCCAGCCTTTTTTCTATTTTTTATTTTGAGATGAGGTCTCACCAAATTGCCCAGGCTGTGTTGTATCTTGTATCCTTCTGCCTCAGCCTCCAAGAGCGCCAGGATTATAAGCATATGTCAAGGTGATGGGCTTATCTTCAACTGTAAGATTTAGATAGACTCAGCTATCATATTCATGCAGTGTCCTTTTAATGGATAAATGTGTTGAGCTGGCACTGTACCAAATGCCAAACCATACTTCAAGGATGTAAAGTAAACACCTCTCTGTTCACCTCTAAATTGTCACTTATTTACTGTGATGTAATCCTGTGGTTTCAGTTACATGGTGACATGTATGTAGGTGCTCTGCCACCTTCTTCAAATGTATTGATATATTATTGATTATCCTTTTTACCATGTTAATATTCTGTATAGAATATTATATATAGAGATAGAATCTATACCCTCCAAAATACCTCACTTTTATGTGCCCACCCATTCACACTTCCTATATTATTTCTATCAATATTATAGTTGTTCTTTCAGTCTCCCCAGGAAGAAATCTGGGGCCAACTTTGACGACCTCTGTATCATGCCTTCTTATTATACTGTTACAAAACTCAATTTTATTCTCCTTCAAGATATTCCTACAAGTCAACATTTTTTCTCTATCCTCCTTCTGCCTGCTATTCAAAACACTTTATATCTGGAATTCTGGAATTATTTTCGACCTGGACTTCCTATTTTCCATGTATTCTCAAATATTGATTCTGCAAACTGATACAAAATTTTATATACTATCATTCCTGATATCTTTAAGAGTAATATAACAGACTCAATTACTTTAAAACCTCCATAATACCTAAATTTGGAAGATAAAATATACATTAGAATGCATAGCTATGTAAAAAGAATTCTTGCAGTGTAACCTTCTTGAGCTGAAATAATTTGTTTCAGTACCGTGAGTTTCTGTATCCAGAATTGGCACTGAATAAATATTTGATGTTGAAAAATTTTGAACCTAAGCTTCAAAAAAAACCTGCAATAACAAAAACCTGTAGGAAATGCCCAGAGGGCAGAAAGGAAGAGAGAGGGAGCAGAACACCAGTGGAATAATCAGCTAAATTGAAAGGGAGCTGAACTGCAGAAGCTAAACTGTTAGTCTGGGACAGGAAATGTACAAGATGAAATCAGAACATTTTATTCCTTAAAGTAAGAAAATACTCAAAGAGTAATGAGATTGTGTAAAAAAATGATACTACTCAATTTGAGACAATTTGAGTATCAAAAGGAATAATCACTTGCTTGATTTAACACATTACTTAAAAATTGGAGTCCATAATAATACTTAACAAAAGATAAATAAGTGAGAAAGACAACTTTCGCTGAAAGCAAACCAGTACATCAAATTCCTAATTCCTAATGAAACTCTGAATATTAGCAATTAAAGGAAAGAATTGGGTATTTTATTCAATCCTTTTGAAAAGAAACTATAATTCATCTCCTTTTGCCAAGGGAAAAGTCTTCTTTACAGAAAATGCCTACTAGTAATAGAAAAAAATCATAGTTACTACTTTGCAAACACCAACAAATAATGAACTCAACTAAACCTGATTGATTTATTCTAAAATACTTTAAAATATGGCAAAGTTTTACCTTGCAGATTACTTGATAACTTTAAAGGGAAATAAATGTTATTTTGCAGTATAGAGATCTGGCTATCAGCATTTTGAATGAACAAGCAATCTTAGGATCATTAGCAGTGATTCTAATAGCATATGTAGCAAGAAGTATAGGAGAAATAGTACCTATGAAATCTTCTTGCCAAAAATTAACCTGGATTTAACCATGCTGTTAGAGCTAGCATCCAGTACCAAATAAGGAGATGATCCTAAAGAATGGAAAGCATACCCAGCTGGATCTTAATATGTATCATAACAGGATAATAATCATAAAGTATGATATTGGTATAGGAATAGAATACCAATGGAACAAAAAAGAGAAAAAGACCCATGTATATTTTCTAACCTGAAATATGACAAAAGTGAATTTTCAGAGCATTATTTAAAATTGCATTTTCAAAAATGCTTATGGGACATTTGATTATGTATGCATAAAAATTAAATTAGGTAAATTTAATAGACTTCATGCCGTCTAAGAAAATTCTATACTAAATACATTTAAATGTGCAAAAACAGAATTTAACAATACTTACGAGCAAATAAAATTACCTTTATGACTTTTAGTTACTCATTCTAAAAATGAGATGCAGAAAACATCCAAAATAAAATATGGAAACATGCCCCACCTTAGAATTAATAGCTTGTTTACCAAAACACAAAAAAGTGAAAAAATGAGTCCAAAATTATATAAACTATTTTCATCACATAAAATCTACAAAAGGTTAATATTAACACTACTTTCTGATCTTGATCTTGTATGATTCAAAAAGAAAATGCCTGAACAAGGCATAGTGGCAATGCCTACAATTCCACCTCTTGGGAGAAGACTGAGTCAGGATAGTCAGTTTGAGGCCAGCCTGAACTACATAATAAGACCTTGTCTCCAAAACACCAAAGGAGGTGGGGAGAAAAGGGCCAGGGATTTAGCTCAGCAGTGCTGCGCCTGCCTTGCAAGCACAAGGTCCTGAGTTCCATCCCTGGTACCAAAAAAAAGAAGAAAAAGAAAATATAATGGGTAAAAAGGCAGAAAAGAAAGAGATAAAATGGGAATAGCAAGAAAAAACAAAATATGAAAAGATTTTTAACTTCAGCAGTAACCAGGGTGGGAACAAAAAAGTTTGACAATACTAGGGGCTGGTGAGAATGTGAACTTTTGAAAATTATTTAATAAACATTTCTGGTGAAGTGTACATTGGGACAACTAAAAAGGTAAAAGGTCTTGGATTATTTTGTAAACTTAAACAGGCTCCTAAATCTCAACAGTTCTACACCTCAGAAAACTCTTGCATAGGTGCATGTGATGGTTACTCATGGTTTTTCAACTGGCCTGGATTCAGAAATGCCCAGTAGATTGGGAAGGCATGGATCTGGGGGTGTCTGTGGGGTGTTTCCAGAGATGACTGGCAGGCAGGCCAGCAAACTGAAGTAGGAACACCCACCCCGATTGTGGGCCTGTAGCCTAGATGGAATAAAAGTGAAAAGAAGTTGGCTCATGTTGTTTGTTTATTTGCTTGTTTTTGTGTACTGGGGAAAATGAACCCAGGGCCCTCACACTGAGCTACATCCCCAGCACTCTTCTATTTTTTATTTTGAGACATTGTCTCACCACGTCACTAAGTCACCCATCCTGCCTCAGCCTTCTGTAGCACTGGGCTGACGGAAATGCACAATTACGGCTGTCTCATGTTTGAAATGCTCTATTCTGCTTAGGCAGGTTTGTCTTTTGCTTCTGCTATTGTCTGTGGACATCAGATTCCAGATCCTTCATCCTTTCAATTTGGACTCACACCAAAGACTCTCCAGGGAGCTTCCAGGCCTCAGTCTCAGACTTGTGCTACATCCTTGACACCTCCTGGTGTGGGGCTTGCAGCTCCTTAGGCTAGGTAGCTGCTGGATCTCCTGGCTCTGCAGCACACAGATAGCCATGGTGGGCCCTCCCACCTCTGATCCTGTAAGCCTGACTCATAAATCCCCTTGCAGAATGGTGTGTATGTATCACATATATCATATGGACATGTGGGATTCTGTTCTCTGGAGAACTGTAGCTAATAGAGTGTACAGTGAGATTTGTTCAATAATTACCAGAGCAGTACTGTGCATTGTAGAAGAAGAAAAACTAAAAAATGATTCCTAAATATTTTTACAGGTTAATGGATAAATACATTTGAAATACTTACACAATACCATATTATGCAGAGAAAGTTAATGAGCTAGAAATACACATAATTTTATACTAAGTGAGAAAAGCAAACTTTTTTTTTTTTACAAAAATTCAGTATAATTTACTTACAATAAAATGACTATTCTTGGCATATAGTTCTTTGACATTTGAAAACTCATAAATCATGTCACTACTCGAACAATCAAAATATAGAGCGGAACTTCCTTTAAAGTTCTTTTGTGTTCCTACACCCACAGTTCCAGGCTCTGGAAAATAAAGATGTTTTCTCTTCCTATAATTTTGGCTTTTCCACAGTGCCATCTAAATATAACAACATTTGATCTGCCTTTTGAGTCTGATTTCTTTCCCATTTCACATGGCATGTAAAGGCAATCT